CACTCACTCACACACACACACACACACACACTCACTCACACACACACACACACACACACACACTCACACACAGACACACTCACTCACACACACACACACACACACACACACTCACACACAGACACACTCACACACTCACTCACTCACTCACTCACACGCAGGCACACTCACACACACGCACGCACGCACGCGCACACACACACACACACACACTCACACACAGACACACTCACACACTCACTCACTCACATGCAGGCACACTCACACACACGCACGCACGCGCACACACACACACACACACACAGAGGTCTGATTTGCGCAGGAATGCGTCCCCGCACTGAACTCCATCCCGACCCCTCAAAAGACAGACAAAGATGTGACATCATGCTCTGCTGCTCTCTACCGCGGTAAACAGAGGGATAAAGCGGCACACAATGCCATGGGCCCCCAGGGGCCCCGCCGATCCTCTGCAAGCAGGAGCATCGCCTGCAATAATGACACAATTGTTGTTTTAATGATGCAGCAGCTGACATTGTCACTCACTTTACAAAAATCAAAACCAAAACACATTTTGATCATTCACACTGTCCTAGTAGAATGCAGTTAGAATGGCCTGAAAATGCCCCTGTATGAGTTTATCTTACATTTCTACACTATATAATCAATATCACATGCTGTTTAGAATATCAGCACGATCACAGATGTGATACTGTCAGTATTGTCATTTTTGCTCTATTTAGCAAAACAAAAATAGTTCCAAACAAAACATTACTTAGTAAGTGAATCCACTTTTTTGCACAAATCAATGATTCATTGAAGAGAGTCAGTTGCCTTGTTGCTGAATGAATCAACCGTTTTAATGAATCATTTGCGTAAACGACACTCATTAATTAAAGGGGTCATAGGATGCTACATGCTCTTTTACAAGTTGTTTGAATTGAAATGTGTGTTGGCAGTGTGTGTACACAACCACCCTATAATGCTTTGCAAATCTCCTTTCCTAATAATGTGCTAATTAGCAAGTTTCACGATGAATGCGGCTAAAGTAAGCAGTCTCTCTGAGAGCAGCTGGGAAGAGAGGGGTGGGGCCAGCAGAGCTCATTAACATTTAAAGGAAAATGCTACAAAAACGGCTCGCTCTGAAAAGAGCTGTTTTTGATAGGGTAAAAAGGTGTTTTACACTACCATTAAGAAATTTTAACCAACCTATGTTACAGACTTTTCATTAAGACCCTAAAGAATCATATAAACTTGTGGAAAATGGGCATCCTATGACCCCTTTAAGACTTTTAGTCTCGTTTCATGTGTGTCCCTGCAGCACAAAAGCAGTGTTAAGTCGCTGGGGGATATTTGTAGCAATAGCCAACAATACATTGTATGGGTCACAATTATAGATTTCTCTTTTATGCCAAAAATCATTAGGATATTAAGTAAAGATCATGTTCCATGAAGATATTTAGTAAATGTCCTACCGTAAATATATCAAAACTTAATGTTTGATTAGTAATATGCATTGCTAAGAACTTCATTTGAATAACTTTAAAGATGATTTTCTCAATATTTAGAGTTTTTTGCACCCTCAGATTCCAGATTTTCAAATATTGTCCTCTCCTAACAAACCATACATCAGTGGAAAGATTATTTATTCAGTATAAATCTCAATTTCAGAAAATTGACCCTTATGACTGGTTTTGTGGTCCAGGGTCACATTTAGTCTTTTAGTTTCATATTTAAAGTATCTTTTCATTAAAAAGAAAATCTAATTTCATATTTCAATATTCAAAATATTATTTTAGGAGCATTAATCTAATTTTGCATTATTTATGCGATTATAATTAGTGTAACTTCATCTAAACGCTTCTTCTGCAGTGCAAAACTGGATTTTACTGACACTGATTTCATTTGATTGGTAACAGCCTACAGTGTCGTCTTATTCTAATTGAATTTATTGATTAAATGTAAGAATGTGAGATAAAAGATGATGCATATATCTAACAGGGTTAGAAAACACTGGCCTTATAAAGATAAAATGCCCTGGAGATCAGTTTAAGAGGGCAAATGTCGGCCCTTAATGGAAAAGCTGATTTCTGGCACAGAATATGAAAAGCTTTGAGTCATGAGTCCAGAACGGGCCGAAACCACACTCAGCTAAATATTGTCTAATTACATTAACGATAACATCCCAGAAATACTGCGATGAAGAACACACAGTGTTAGACCGGAGCGTGAAGAACTTGAGATCGGGGTTGGAGAGTTTCTGTGCGGATGCGAGTGTTCAGCGAGATGTTTAATTATGCTGACGGAGAACGAGGCCGCTGCAGAACGAGCGAGGATTCAACAAAGAGTTTCCGCTCCTCTGTGACCCAACCCAGAAAAACAAAGGAGAAACGCCTGCTGCTTCGATGGAGCTTTGAGAACACAGAATAAAGCACAGACTCACAGGAGTGAGCCTCCGTCTCTTCAGAGGAGCTGTGACGTGATGAGGGACAGACGGGAAACACGACGGTTCTTCATGCTTTTCACTGCACTGCATTAATACAAGCGTTCATCACGGCATACAAACCCAGACAGAGCCCGATATACAGAGACAAACACCGCAGAATCACATGATTATCTCAGCTCAGTGCCACACTGAGAAACACGTTCTTCAGGTTTTTTTATGCAATGCTTTGAATGTGACTGTAATGTGTTTGTTCTTATCTTATCCGTTACGAGCATGCATTTAGCAGATGCTTTTATCCAAAGCGACTTGCAAAAGAGGAAAAGAGCACCTATAAATCTGTTTTAATGCATCATGTGCATCTTATATTTAGGTTATGACGTGTACTACAGCTTGTACAGTTATGAGGACCTTTATAATGCATCATATTATTTTACCAGAGACATATCTTTAGTGCAAAACCGTAAAATAATCTATTAACGTTAATTGCGTAATTATTTTCTAGAGTTTAAGGTTGAATCATTTGTGACCGTAGACCCACATTAGATTTTTGAAAAGCTGAATAAATAATCTTTCCATTGATGTATGGTTTGTTAGGATAGGACAATATTTGGCTGAGATACAACTATTTGAAAATCTGGAATCTGAGGGTGCAAAAAACTCTAAATATTGAGAAAATCATCTTTAAAGTTGTTCAAATGAAGTTCTTAGCCATGCATATTACTAATCAAACATTAAGTTTGGATATATTTACGGTAGGACATTTACAAAATATCTTCATGGAACATGATCTTTACTTAATATCCTAATGATTTTTGGCATAAAAGAGAAATGTATAATTGTGACCCATACAATGTATTGTTGGCTATTGCTACAAATACACCTGTGCTGCTTATGACTGCTTTTGTGCTGCAGGCTCACATGTATTAGTGTTTTGTTGTCTCCTCCTTTCATTGCATTGTGGCCTATATAGTGTACACATGCTTTTGGTGTCCGTTTTAGTGACAGCAGCGACTACTGTTGTTTTTTATTGTGCATTATAATTCAAATTTGATTTGATATTATTATGACTAGTAAATGAGCTCAGCTCTAGTTCAGGACTGATAATGCATGGTTTTTGTTCGTCACATTGAGTCTTTAGCTTCTGAAACGTTCACTCAGCGTGAGCTCAAATCCACAGAAGCCTTGAACTCGCTCGCAGGGATTGATTGCAGAGCTTTAGACCTCTGATCTACGTTTGAAGAACACACACACACACATACACTCACACACACACACACACACACACACACACACTCTCTCGCTCTCACACACACACAATCTCTCCCTCACACACACACACACACTCTCTCTCTCTCACACACACACACGCACACACACACTCTCTCTCACACACACACACACACACTCTCTCTCGCTCTCTCACACACACACACACTCTCTCTCTCTCACACACACACACGCACACACACACTCTCTCTCACACACACACACACACACTCTCTCTCGCTCTCTCACACACACACACACTCTCTCTCTCTCACACACACACACGCACACACACACTCTCTCTCACACACACACACACACACTCTCTCTCGCTCTCTCACACACACACACACTCTCTCTCTCTCACACACACACACGCACACACACACTCTCTCTCACACACACACACACACACTCTCTCTCGCTCTCTCACACACACACACACTCTCTCTCTCTCACACACACACACGCACACACACACTCTCTCTCACACACACACACACACACTCTCTCTCGCTCTCTCACACACACACACACTCTCTCTCTCTCACACACACACACGCACACACACACTCTCTCTCACACACACACACACACACTCTCTCTCGCTCTCTCACACACACACACACTCTCTCTCTCTCACACACACACACACACACACACACACTCTCTCGCTCTCACACACACACAATCTCTCCCTCACACACACACTCACACTCTCTCTCACACACACACACACATGCAGCCACAGCACCACCTTCTGAACGCCGGAGGAACTGCAGCTCCGTCTCTCCGTTCACACAGAAAACACTGGAATGCACGAGCTTCTCCTCTGTGTGTGTGTGTGTGTGTGTGTGTGTGTGTGTGTGTGTGTGTGTGTGTGTGTGTGTGTGTGTGTGTGTTGATCTGAAAGCTGAGAAGCGTGTGTATTTACCTCGGTGTCGTCCTCCGTCCGGAGCCCCAGATTGAGGACGGTATGCGGCGCTTACAGTCTGCTCCGAGCCGACGAAGCCATCTGCAGATTGAGCTGCCAACCCACGAGATCCAGCTGGAAAACACACGAGAAACACACTCAATTTAGCTTTAGATGTTTACAACTGTGACACACTGCCACAAACACTGGGACATAATTAAAAGATCTCCAACAAATGTAGAATTTTTTTTTATTAATATTATTGAACATGGTTTACCTACTAAAAATCATGTAGCCCATATGTGACCCTGGAGCACAAAACCAGTCATAAGGGTCAATTTTTTTAAATTGAGATTTATACACCCTCTGAAAGCTGAA